CCTTTCTGGGCCACTTTTACACCGGAAACAGAGTGGGAACCCGTTCCGGCGTGCTGGTGTTTCTTTCCGCTCGACCCCCCGGGGGTCGAGCGGAAGGGGCGTCAGCCTTTCTGGGCCATTTTGACACCGGAAACAGGGTGGGAACCCGTTCCGGCGTGCTGGTGTTTCTTTCCGCTCGACGCGCCGGGCGTCGGGCGGAAGCAAGGACGGGCAACGCCGTTGGCCCATGGTGACGCCGGCCGGAAACAGGGCAGGAGCCGGCTCCGGCCTACTGGTATTTCTTCCCGCCCGGCGCGCCGGGCGTCGGGCGGAGGGGAGGGGGCCAACCTTGTTGGCCCATTCTGGCACAGCAAGCTAGGTGGGTGCCCGCTCCGACCTGCCCGCACCGCTCGGCGCGCCAGGCGTAGCGCGGGGCTTCAAGCGGAAGACGGGAGGGACGGCCCCCGCGGGTCCACTCGTCCCGGTTCGTTGATGTTTCTCTCGGCTCGACGCGTCCAGCGCCCGCTCCGCTTGGGTGGTTTTTGTTTCCGCTTGGTGGGGCGACGGTGGCTGCGCGATGCAAAGGTCCTCCCGCTATTGTGTTCTTGGTTCTCAACGTCTTTGCGTTTTGAGTTTAAATTTCAGACCGTGATCGCGGCTACGGCCCGCCGCAGTGTGAGAAGTTGTATAAGTGCCCGGACTGACACCGACACGCGGTCCGCTTCCGTGTGTATTTGCAGGAGCGCGCCTACTTTTGTGCGCATTCAGATCAGTTTGATAGGACGAGCAGACGCCCTATTCCGTTCGAGGTTTCGCGTTGCTCGGGATAAGTTTGTAGCCTTGAAAATGGCGAATTCATTCTCGTTCAAACAATGGAGCTACGCAGCTGCGTTCAAATAAAGAGCGACAATAAACACAACGAACTAGACGGCGTCGCGACTTTCCAGTTTGATGCGATTTACCAAATATATTTGAGGCAGTTTGCCAATGCTTGCAGGGCCATCGAGTTCTACTCTCACGCATTCTATGAAATTATACGGAAAGTAGCAAGAAGCCTGAAAATATGCAGAGTATGTAAGAGAGTGCGCCGAGCAAAAAAAATGCCACCGAAAGGCAAGGCTGTCCAATGGGCAGACCTGCCACCGCACAGGCCCTCATTGTCATTCTCGTCGCCATATGGATTGCAAATAAATATGTCTGGGTCGGCGGAAAGGTTGCGCCTTGGGATGCGAGTTCTACAATATAACCTAGAACAACTCAGCACGTTGCGCAGTCAGCCAGAAGTGCTCGGTTTTGGTATTCAGGAGGAGGCATTTGCATTTCTAATGCAGAACAGGAGAAGCCCCAACGCCAAGCCTTCGCAGACTTTCATTTTCAATTTGTCATGCTATGTCGTGCGCATTCGATACCCTCTTGCAACTGCAAGAACTACCTGACAAGTATCGGCGTTTCCCCAGACCCAGACATATTTGCAATGCATACGCCAGCACATGACGCATTCAAGACTGCTGTTGGCGGCAAGCAACAAATAAATGACACCGATTTACTCAAGACGGCACGCGCAGGGGATACTAGTTCTGCGAACGAGGATGAGAACCACACAAAATCGGCAGGACAAACCAACACCGCGGGATCGGCTTCAGCCGCGCCTGCAGCTCTACCGGGAGCGCGCGAAGCGTATGGGCGTGAAGTCCCGACTCAGAACTGCCTCAGCACTCCTCTGCCCGGCAGAGCAACTTTCTTCGCTGAGTTGATATGCCGTGTGCCGTCTCATTCTCAATCTCAAAGGGATGAAGCTGAACGAAAAGAAGAAAAGAAGCTTTCTGGCGAACGAACATGGAGGTGAACAAAAAAAACGCACTCGGCATTTCAATTCAGGCTTTTGTCATGTTTAGTGCTCTTGTTCTGAAAGGAGGTTTCATGCCTATAAAAGCAAGAAGACATCGTCGGAAGATGAACCCCACAAAAACCTGACCTCTGCTACGGAAAATCCGCAGTATCCAGAAAAAGACCACCATCAGTAATATCACGGAATAGTGAGGCATTAGTATATCTGCATGGCCAAGTAAGTACTCAGACCTACCTACGAATGTCTGTCATGTAAAAAGACTCAGAAGCAGTTTTAGATGTAAGGCCATGATTGAAGTGTGTCTGCGTCCTTCGTCAATGCAATACCTGATGAAAATATTACACGATGTCTGATAGGCATCGCTTTTCATTTTCTTGTAATGCTTCGCAGCTTCGCTTCTTGTTCAACAAGTTGTCCGGTGCTAAAATTGAGAAAGCAAATCTGGACGATTACATTGGTGGTTGTTTTTTAATCTTTATACACCAGTACAGAAGAACAAGAACGTCAAAAACTCGAAGGGAAAACAGCAGATCAAGCAACTCTCCCATGCGGAACTACAAAAGCGGTACGCAGCAGGACAAATGAGTACTAAGGCAGTCGCGAAGCATCTGCACGAGCAAGAGCCTGGTGCTGCATCATCTACAGCAAAAAATAACGACGAGAAGCACGCAGAGCTGAAGAAGGACATGTACTAGTACGCCCCGGTGTCTGATGTCGCCTGGGTCCCGATAACGAAAACGAAATCAACGCGAAATAGGAGTAAGGAACACCCCTGATCCTGTGTTGTAGCGGCCGGGGGTTGCTCTTGAGGTTCCCTGTTTGTGTTGCACGCGAAGGGTTCGCGGTTTTTATAATTTGGGCCGTGGCGGTGGCCGCCTGCTTGGGGCTTTGCTCCAGCGGCGCTGCTGTGATGCTGCGGCTACATCTCAACTTAGGCCCGGCTTCCCTCGCTACACACAATAGACGCACACAGTTTGTTGGATACAGTAAACGTGTTTTGCTTGTTCTCGTAGTTAGGTTTTCGCCTATCCGACTCAAGGTGTATGTCTGCCCTGCATACGCACACCACCAGCAACCAGCAATCGCCCAAGGCGGCCCCGCTGATTGTGCTCTCCAGCAGTTCCGACGAACTAGGCCTCGGGGGCCTGAATACAGCAGCGGTGAACAAGAAGCATCAGCGGGGCGAGCTGAAAACCGAACACGTGCTGAAGTGGAGCAAAGAACGATACAAGAAAGTAGAAGTGCATACCAATGAGGAGCTGGATGGGGTATTCTGGCCTTCCAGTCATATCATGCTGCGAATGTTTGCATTTGTATACGAGCAGGAGTTTTTATTCTATTTCCCATCGGGTTCGGGTTCACGTTCATCTCTACGTGTACGACAGTCAACTGAAAAAAGTAAATCCTTCGATGGAATTGCGTTGAAGTTTCAGTACACGCAAAGGTTTTGCGCATGAGTTCCAAACGTGATTGCAACTTTGATTTTTTCACAATTCAATTCTCGAGGTGCGCGAACAATTAAAAGCGAATGGACGGATCGAGAATCCGTTCGGAACGCCCGGCATCGTGACTGAAAAACACGCGCCAGGAGGTGCCCGGCTGTGCTTGCTCTCTTGCCTTGTTTTATCAGCTCCCCGCCCAAGCGGGGAGGGGGACGCTTGAACGACGTAGCGCGAGCGAGATCCGTAGCGTCCAAAATCATGCTAAGGGTGTATGACTAACGCAGAAGCAGAACGCAAATGAACCGAAGCAAGCACAGCCTCCCCGGCCACTTGCCGCTCCTGTGCACAGTTTTCACTATGATAATTAGCAATGGCAATTGCCAGCCCCTGGGTAAGATTATTTGCTATATATGTGAATGATGATTCCCCTGAGCCAGCAGTCGCGCCATGCTCCCGATGCCTGCTGCGTTCTCGGCTTCCTAGTATTTTTCTGCCTGTCAATTCTACGGCACTGCCCCGCCCCGCTTCCTTTTCCCATGCTTAATACCAAAATCCCGCACAGCCGTACGCAAAGAAAAAAGCGCTACAGGTGCGCACTGCGTTGCAGGCCACGCAAAGTCGACAAGCTCTGTCATGCTGGATATGCTTGGAGCCCTTTTTTGTTGCGCATTTTTCGTCTTCCGATGGTCTCTGCAGTAATTTTCTTTTTCTTATTTGCTCGTGTAGCGAGGTCTACTTTGCCGAAACTGCGCAAAGTGGGTAACTGTAGCCACTTTTCTTTTCGATAAGCCATCTGCGCACAGTTTATCCGAAGAAAAAAGAGCGTCCCCACCTCAGTGCGTCTGCTTTTGTTCTATGTATGTGCCTGTCACGCAGATTTGATTTTGAAATCACAAGCCCCGGGCTTGGGAGATGATATGTTCGTGATTTGACGGCGACAACCAATGTGCAAGAGGCTCTTCATTCGTGCATGCAGCGCTGCTCGCTAATTATTGGCGTGCTGTAATTCTGTAGGGATTTGCCTTCGTCATGCACCATAGGCCTGCTGCCCTTATTGCAGCATCGGTTTAAACAAGGGAATTATTGGGACAGCTTTTGCACAGGATACATCTGTGGCCGGACGCGAGCGAGGAGAAAATAGAGGCGCGTGCCGCCGACCTCCGCAAAACAGCTCACAAAATGCTTGCCAACAAGCACAACCGAAAGAACTACTACGGCGACTCCATCGCGAACGCAGCCGCCGGACGCGACGACGAGTTCCCCACCCCGGCGAAGTATCTTGCTGGGATTGGGAAGAACAAGGTGCATATGGACGAGCTACAGCTGCAGGCAATCTCGGACTTCTTTGGAATTAATATGGAGGTGACGAATCCCCAGTGCGTCTACATGATCGAGCCCTCCGAAGCTGCCAGAAGTGGCTTACACCAGAAGCCAGAAAACTTTTTCCCCAAATTCTTATCCTCGAGGAAAACTGCTTCACTGGGGCTCGGGGACTTGCACTGCAAAGCTAGAGGATATTTTATATTCTTATCGCTAGATCTATGCCGAGAAAAAAAAAATACGGTAGAAAAAATCAAAAAGCACCTAGAAAAAATCAAACCGGGCTCCCACTGTAGAAAAACCCTGTCGGGTGCTTTGAGAAAAATCGAGAAGAAAGCAAGAAAAATTTTCTCCGCGCGCTCCGCGCGCGAGGTTGTTTCTCGGCGCTCCCCGCACATGGGGCGCGCCCCCACCTCCATCTGTCGCCTGAAAAAAATTCTCCGCGTGTTGTCTGTGCGCTCCCGCCTGGTTGCGTGGCCCCCTCGCCCGAGAAATTTTTTCCGGGCGGCCCTAGCGCACGCGGTGAGGCTGGTACTCAGCGTTCCCCGCAAATGGGACGCGCCCCGGCCTCCGTCTGTCGCTTGAAAAATTCTGCCCGCGCGCGCGTTGTTTCTCAGCGTTCGCCACACATCGGGCGCGCCTCCACCTCCGTCTGTCAGTTGATAAATTTCCTCCGCGCGCTGAGCGCGTGGCTTTGCTGCCTCTGCTTTTTTCTGGTTCGCGAAGTATGTTGCTTCGGTTTTTCTGCACCCAATTCGCGGCCCCGCCTGGTTGTGTGGCCCGCCGGTCGGGAAAATTTTCTCCGCGCGCTGCGCGCGCGGCGAGATTGCTTCTTAGCGTCGCGCGCGCATTACATGGGGCGCGCACGCACCTCCGTCCGCCTCTTGAAAAATTTTCATTCTCCGCGCGTTGCGCGCGCGGCAAAGTTGCTTCGCAGCGATGCCCGTACATAGGGCGCGCCCCCACATCCGTCCGCTGCTTGAGAAATTTTCCCCGCGCGCTGCGCGCGCGGCGCGGTTGCTTCTCAGCGTCCCCCCCACATGGGGCGCGCACCCAGCTCCGCCCGCCGCTTCAGTTCTCCGCGCGCCGCCCGCGCTTCTCAGCGCCCCCCGCTCATAGGGCGCGCACCCACCTCCGTCTGCCGCTTGAAAAATTTTCTCCGCGCGCTGCGCGCGCGGCGAGGTTGGTTCTCAGCGTTCCCCGCATATGGCGCGCGCACGCAGCTCCGTCTGCCGCTTGAGAGATTTTTTTTCTCCGCGCGTTGCGCGCGCGGCAAGGTTGCTTCTCAGCGTTGCCCACATATGGGGCGCGCACCCACCTCCGTCGGCCGCTTGAAAAATTTTCTCCGCGCGCTGCGCGCGCGGCAAGTTTCATCTAGAGCGCGCACCCACCTCCGTTCGCCTGTTGAAAAATTTTCTCCGCGCGCTGCGCGCGCGGCGAGTTTTCTTCTCGGCGTTCCCCGCACATGGGACGCGCACCCACCTCCGTTCGCCGCTTGATTTGAAAAATTTTCTCCGCGCGCTGCGCGCGCGGCGCGTTTTCCTC